ATTCAATCTGCCTCGAGCTCGACGCCGATTGATACTTCTATTCCAACAAAAGCATAAAATTCATTTTTTACCCTAATCCCTAACCCTAATCCCAAATCCCAAATCTCAAATACTAGTAATTTGGAATTTTGGCATCCCAAATCTCAAATGATTTGGGATTTGGGCAACACGTATATATATACTATTCTAAAAAATTTCAATGATGATATAGTAAAAAATAAGAAATCCACCGAGTTACTTAACTGTATAAAATGTGATAAGAAAATTTTTGCAAATCCCAATAAAGCTTTCACAATCCTCTTATGTGGACATGTCTTCCACAAGGTTTGCATCGAAAAACAGCTTTTACTTAGCAAACAACTAACATGTACATTCTCCAACTGTGATAAAAATGTTAAATTCTTAAGGAGTTTATCAAGCTTGATTCTCAATTCAGCACTTCGTCAACAGTTGGAAAGATGAAAAAACAACTTACTATTCAATCTCAGGAAATTATTAATGGGGAAATACCGAATATAGATAATAGGGAGAATAAAAATAAAGTTAATTCGAAGAAAATAAATACCGATATAATAGAGGTGGGCCAAAAAAAACCTATTGAAGTTACTAATGAAGAAACATCCATGATACTAAATAAATCACCTAGTAAGAAAACTAAAATCAAGAAAGACGAATCATCTATACTAAAAAAACTTATTAAAAATTTAACTACTGATGTACCTACCAGAGTCAGTAAAAATTTGAAAACAACTAATAAGGTGTATACGTGTTGCCCAAATCCCAAATCATTTGGGATTTGGGATGCCAAAATCCCAAATTACTAGTATTTGGGATTTGGGATTTGGGATTTCGGCAAAAAATACTAATCATAATTTGGGATTTGGAATTTGGGATTTTGGCATTTGGGATTTCGGCATTTGGATTTTGAATTTGGGTGGCAGGTATAATAAGGTGCCATTACCTTTTTACAACTCTCTATTAACATCAACCTAACTAAAGTAAAAAATAAAGATGCAATACAAAATGTTATTAGTAGATATTTCAATTTTGACAAAGCTTTATATAAATAATACAAGGAATTGAAACTCACTAATAGAAAAATAAAAGCCACCGCTATGGTTAGAGTCGAGATCATAAAAGAAATTCCAGAATCGAAACTTAATAATAAAGCTTTGTGAAAAAGGAGGGAAAGAGCTGAGAAGGTATATAAGCTATTTATGGATACTGAAGGGAAAACAAAAATATCACAAATTTAATCTATTCTATCAAGATCTATTTTTAATCTATTCTTAGATAATATTGATCAAGTGATTGTTGGGTTTTTAAATATAAAATGATTGCTTTGTGAATATAATGTATTCATATTTTTTCACATCAATAAAAATGTGTTTACTGTGTCACATTACTGTACCCAGACACACGTGTCCAGTTTTTCTGAAATTATCTTGTTTTATCATGCTTTATTATGCTTCTACATAATAAATAAATTATATATTTTCCATATTGAATTTGTGAAATCTTGATCGTACCATGGTGCATATTATAACACCTGAAATTATTATTTTTATCTTTTATTTATTATTATCTTCTTTATTTGTATTATTATTAATTATAGTTA